ATTCAGTGAGACCTGGACAGGCTAGAGAGTTGGGCAGAGAGGAACCTAATGAAGTTCAACAAAGGCAAGTGTAGGGTCCTGCACCTAGGAGGAATAACCCCATGCACCAGTAGAGGTTAGGTGTTGACCTGCTGGAAAGCAGCTCTGCAGAGAAGGACCTGGGAGTCCTGGTGGACAACAAGTTAACCATGAGCCAGCAATGTGCCCTTGCAGCCAAGAAGGCCAATGGTATCCTGGGGTGCATTACAAAGAGTGTGGCCAGCAGGTCGAGGGAGGTTATCCTCCCCCTCTACTCTGCCCTGGTGAGGCCACATCTGGGTACTGTGTCCAGTTCTGGACTCCCCAGTTCAAGAAAGACAAGAAACTACTGGAGAGAGTTCAGTGGAGGGCTATGAAGATGATTAGGGGACTGGAGCATCTCTCATATGAGGAAAGGCTGAGAGAGCTGGGTCTGTTTAGCCTGAAGAGGAGACTGAGAAGGGATCTTATTAATGCATACAAATATCTTAAGCACTGGAACAGGCTGCCCGGAGAGGTTGTAGAGTTTCCTTCTCTGGAGAGATTCAAAACCCACCTGGACACAATGCTGTGCAACCAGCTCTAGGTGAATCTGCTTTAGCAGGAGGGTTGGACTAGATGATCTCCAGAGGTTCCTTCCAACCCCAACCATTCTGTGACTCTGTGATTATACAGGTGTCACATGAATGAGCTGTCTAATCTCAAAGCCTAGTGTACCTCTTATACAAAAATACTGTAAACTTCCTTTTTATACCCTACATTAAGAACTTCTTTTGAAAAAACGACCTCTGCTAAATATAAATGAAAATTTAGCAGCAGAAAAGGCATTATCTTAGACCACAGGAATTTAAATAATGCTCGAAACAAGTTCTTCATAGGTGTTCTTACAATAATTTTTTTAAAGTAACTGACAATGAACCAAGTCTCATGTCAATATGGTTATAAGCAGACAAGGTTCTCACTGCTAGTTTATTTTATAATGAATTCTAATTCCAAAATTAATAAGTATATGCTCTAGGGAATATTCTCAAATTAAATAAACACTTTTCCCCCCTCTATACTGCTACAAATAATTCCTATTCCTGAATACTCTACTGATGAAAGAAGAATCACAATCTCGTATGCATTTTCTCATATAACTTCAGTAGGAAGGAATACCTAATGTTTGGCTATATCACGGCTTCTATCTTCCCATAGAGGAGAAGAAACAGGACAGACCTCGACAGACCCATCAATTCAGTAAATGCAGTTCCAAATTACACCTTATCTATTCTCTTACGATGCCAGAGCTCCTGTTACTGTGGTGTATGTTGATATACCTCAGATAAAGAGGATATCTGAGGTGTTCAGGAAGGACTCCTCTGAAGATTTGCTTCAACAGCACAATCACCCAATGATGCTGCTGGTGTGGGCTGTATTTTTACTAATCACTTCAGCAACATCATCACAGCTTCCAGATCAGAGTGACTCTGATTTCTGACCACCAAGTAAATCCAGAGAAGGGTGTTTCATTTTGACTACATCTGCATTTGATCTGTGCTGTACAACAGGGCTCAAACCTTCCCTCAGTTTAAATTAGCTTCTACTTTGTAAGGCACAGCTTTTAGTGTACACTGGATTAAATTGTGTTTACTGCTATATCTCTAATTATACAGTTATTAATTATATGAAGAGCATTATTTAAAAAACTTAATACTAAAATGTGTATAAGGCAATTAGCAAAATACAAATACTGTTGGACTGTATGACTCATTTAAAGTACAGAAATGCAGAGAGTCAAATTACTATGCAACATAAAATTAGCTCACAGAACTGTAAAGATAGAAAACAAATCAGAAACATGGGAGAATTTAATCTGTATTACATTTCACATTTTTAATCACAGTACTTTGAAGAATATTGTTTCTAAAATGAAAGATTTATGCCTTCTTCCCAAAACTTTCAATATGTTACTCCTATTCAAAAATGTTCCTATTTGAAATGTTACTCCTTTTCAATTCAGATTTTTATGCTTTCAGAACAAATCTCCTATAAGGGAAGACAGTTTAAATACCTTCCGCTAGTAAAAAAAGAGAAAAAGGTGGAACAACACAAGTTTTAATTCAAAATACTATAGCAAACGTGTTCCTGCTTCCCCATAAAGGCTTAACAAAAAAATTTTGCTATGAAATACTGGCTGATCCTTATTCAGACCAACAGAAGTGAAATTAAGAAAGGTAAAATTAAAGTGACAAGCGATTAAGACCTGATTATGCTAATTAGTATCTTTCAAAAATAAGCAGCATGACTGACATTATTTCATGGGCATAAAAAGCATTACAGTCTTTTTGCCTTTTGTAAGGTAAGGGATGAATCAGTTTGCTACTCATGAAAAAGAAATTAATTTCTCTAAATACAATTCCAACATTAAAATAAAAAATAACAGTCTTTCTGTTGCCCACATATGCTAACACAGCAGACACAGAGGGAAAAAAAAAACCTTGGAAAATTTAGAAAATATGTCAATGAAACTTCAGTTATCAATCTGACACTCTTACATATCCATCCCTACTGTCCATTGGGGAACAATGAAATAATCCAGATCTCTAAATCTCCTATGATATCTTAACAGGGCAGATGCAGACCCCATGATAAACCAAGAGTCACCCATTGATAACTTAAGCTGTCATAATTAAGATTCACCATCTTCAACATTCTCTCAGTTGAAGTACTGAGAACACTCAGGTAAAAAGTTTCTTAAAATGTAGATATTACTTATGAGCAGAACTAAGAACAGTGATCAAACCAGGGAATTTTTCATTTCATTGCCCTATTTCTCATACTAAGTCTCTCTCAATTTAAACTTAAGCAGTGCACAGAACAGCACTAATTATGATATTTCCTATGTTCACTTAAACTCTGTAACAATAATAGTTAACAAATTATACTCTCCCACACAACAGCTTTAGAACTCATTAAAAGAGAAAAAACTTTTTTTCAATGAAACACAATTTCATAGAAATGGAAAAACTTAAAAAAAAAAATCATTGTGATTAAATTTGTCCATTAAAGCATTCAGACAGTTCAGAACAATGCAAAGAAATACTTTTCTGCTTTCTTAGTCTAATTATGGAACTTTTTTTTACTTTGTTGGTGATTTGCTATATGTTGGTCAGTGTGGTTTTTTTGTTGTCTGAGCACAAATTATTCCATGTTTCAGCATAAAAATCTTTTCACTAGTTTTAATGTGAAGTATTTTCTTTAGCACTTTCCATATGAAAAATTGAAAATGAAAATAAAGTATGCAGAATTTTTCTTAAATCATCTAAAAACTTTCTTTGAAAATTCTCTAAACAAAATGAGATGAGACAAAAGTTCAAACCAAAACCTGTAAGAATGGCGCTACAACCATTCTTTTTTTTGTTATTTCTACAAATTTTCTTTAGAAGTATTTTCTACAGATTTTTTTTTCACTCAGAGTCTTGTTTAATCACAAAAGTATGTTTAGCTAGCACTCTTAACTGCTGACCAAAACAGGACATGAACACTAAAACATATGACATTTACCTAAATAACTGTGAGCTGGTTTTTCTTCAACAACTTTGATTCTCCTTGCTCCTGCGGGTATCACCAAAGCTTCCACATAACCTAGACATGAGACCAGATGTCCTGAGTTAAATACAAAAGCACAGAAAAGTATGTCTTGTATGATTTTTTATTTCTTCTCCCCTCTTTCACCTTTTAAATGTAACAAGTTATAATTTACATAGCAATGGTTTGAGGGTTCTGACAAAATGTTGAAACAAGCTATGAAACTGTGTATTATGTGTAATATATATACCCTGATATACAACTAAAACAGTATAGCAAAGTAAAATGTAACAAGAACTAGTGAGGCTGGGCAGGCTGGGGCTGGAGCAGATGAAGTTGTCTCTGGCCAAGTAGTTTAGTGTCATCATCACCACCAGATGACCATAAAAGAATTGCAACTTCACTCAGCGTGTAGAGACAAATGACAAATGTTTTCGTTCTTTTTAAATATTTTGTGCTCCGTCTCCCTCTTCTTGCTTTAACACATTCAAACCCTGTTATGAATGGCTTTAGTTTTAAAGTCTACTTATTAGTTATTTGCTTTACATTACAATTGCTTCCTTAGAGTGTGGGAATAAGACACGGTCTTAAGCAACTTGCTTTAAGTAAAAAGGGGTGAAAAAGCAATGGAGGTGAAAACCACTGTCTAAGGACGAATGTTATAAATACATAAAAACATATTTTAATTATCCAGGTGAACTTCAAAAAGTGAACAGTAAACCAAGTTTTTATTCCGTGTAGCTATGTAATGTTCTATAACAAATTACCGAGCATTTACAACACCTTTTCAATAACCCTGAAACATGAAAATTAAATTGCTGCAAAGCAGCACTATTTATCTTTAATTTCCTTAAGAACTAATGACACCTTCTAAGTATTGCTGACAGTCCAACTTTTTGAGAAGGAAAGTAACTTAGGCAGTTGTTTAGAGGGCAATACCAAAATATTGTGGATTGACACAGAACCCTAAATAAACTTGAAAGTGTGTGGATATTCACATTAGCTACAAAAGGGAGCTGACACATTGTAATTTGTAATAGCAGCCACCTTCTTTGTAGTTTTTGATCTTGTAGTCCTCCAGACTCATCTGTGGTTTGGGATCCCTGCTCTGCATTACCTTCAGCTTAAGAGAGGGCCAGATATAAACATCTGAAGACTATGCCTAAACTTTTTTTTTTTTTTTTAAAGTACTATACTTCAGTCTATAATGCACTGAAGTCCTTGACTTTTCAAAGATATACTGTCTGCTACAGTATTTTTTGATGTGATTTACTTACTGTCTTGAAATTCTGCACATTTTCTACTCAAGAAACTGAAAGTGTAATGGCAAAAAATGCTGAAAACAGTTGGCCAAATGCTGTTTCAAAAAAAAGACTTTTCTTGGAGAGAAGGTATACATGGTGCATGGTGCACATTATTAGGATTTCAGTCCTCTACTCTGTCAACAGTGTTGTCCTGGAGCCAGTCAATTATTCTCATTCAAAGAACAGATCACAGCAGTGTTTGAAAATCTCATGTTCATTCTGTATCAGAAAATCTATTTGCTTTTTATGATATGTTATTATTAGTATAAAACAATGAATAATGGAAAGATAGAAGACTTCACACATTCGGCTTTATGTTCTCCCACTGTGTGGCTTGGTTTAATGATGTTACTCTAGATAACAGGTCATAATTTGGATATTTATTTTGAAGAACACTAAATGAATGTAAACACTATGAGAATTTACAGTTCATTTATTTATTAAAAGTATAAATTTTATTTCACAGAATTTTTAAAAATCAGGCTCTTCTATGAAACAATGTGTGTCTTAATGGAAGATAAATTAGATAATTCCTTAAGTTTATAATTGAAACAATTTGCAATAATTTTGCAACAATTAAATTTAAAAATACTCATGCATTCTTATCTTAAATGTCTTATTATCTTAAAAAAAGTAGATCTGAAGTTCTTGTGAGGAACTGCATAATTTTAAGAAGTATAGCTTTTTAAAGTTCCCAACTGTCAAAGTAATCAAACAGCTACTGGTTTCCTGAGTATTTGAAATAAACAGACTTACCTGCTCCTCTGGTATGGTTAAAATCACCTTTAATAACTTTGCATGACTTTCCATTACCATTGCATACACCGCAATGATCTTCACGAGCCAGAGACCCTAATATGCCATCACAGCCAAATTTCTGTGGGAGAAGAAAATAAAGCTATTGAGACACAGGCCATGTTTTTCATAAAGCTGCCTTTAGGAGTAGGCATCTCACCCTTTTGCAAGATGCTCTAACCAACATGATCTAGCCCTGCTCAGAATGAGGGTTGCACTAGTGCATGTGCAGAGATCCCTTCCATACTAACTTTTTCCATGATTTTATGTAGATTGTTGCATTCACTCTTCCTGTATGGTTGACTAACAATACCAGCTGCTCTCCAAGAGGAACACAACCATGTTCTCACCTCCCCCTTGGACCTCTGGAACTTCTGAGCCTCTGTGCAACACACACCCCACAGGCCCTCCTGCTCAGCAACTACAACATGTGCAGTTCTACTGCTTTCTGCTCAAAATATGGGAGGTTCTTTGCCACACCCACAATGGTAAAGTGCTGTCTAATGTCAACCTAATGTCTTATTCTGAATAGGACGTGAACACGTCTGGAATATGTAAATATAAATTGTTATTTGTGTTTTGCTAAAAAGCATCCAGTTTAAACCAAATTAAGTTTACTCAACCACTTCCACATTACTATGTTAGACACATTTCTATCAATAAACATCAGTGGTAGCTTGACAATAGGAATACAGGTAATATCATATGTTGTCCTGAAATGAAATAAAAACCTTTTAAAGTCTAGAGAAGTCATCACAGGGTAATCTCGTGCATTGCATAAATTCATCTGATAAAACCAGCTAAATTTCAAGACTGTTTGATAAATAATGAAGACAAAAGCTAGGTTAAAGAGAAAATAAAGGATTCCTTTAAAGACAGAAACCACGGTTTCCAAGTCACTCATTTCCAAGCACATTAAGATTGTTACTTCACTTTATGCACAGAATTTTTATTACAGTTCTACCTAAAAAAGCAATACAGATTTAAAAATACTGATTACACCATAAGCATTCAAAGAGCTGTGTATCCAAAATGGCACATCTACAAGATACAAATACCTAACTCTACAGCTGTAGTCCCCAAAGTTCTTCCTAATGGGTTGTCTAAGAATACAGGGTAAAAAGTGGAAGACCTTACAAATTAGACTTTTAAATCTGATTAGCACCTATTTCTCTGACCAAGAGAATGTCAAGAAGCCAACTCAGTCTTAGTCAGGTGGGTTTGGTTTAGGGCTTTTTTTTGGTCTTTATTAGGGAGTTGTGAAAAGTGAATGATAAAACAAATGACTTTTTCAGGAAAAATGGGCTATATATCATCTTTGTGATTAAACCTGCAACTGTTACATGGTGAACTAGAGACAATTCAGCAAAGTATTTAAGAGTATTCTTGTTGCATGCACTCAGTCACTTGAGAAAGGACAACTATACATACATATATGCATTGGTATGCATATATACATGCGTGATGCACATACACATGCATGCGTGATCTCTAAGTTAATTTGTTGAATTTATTACAGTATCTAGCAATGCTATTTCTGTGTTAAAGTTTGTTTTTTCTGCTGAATTCAATGTGTGCAATGAGAAGCGGACAAAGAAAAAAACCAGCCATGTGGGAGTTTTATACAGAAGAGTTTCCATATGAGGCACTATAAAAGCAAAAAAAGAACTTCTATGAATCAAATTAATTCTGAGGATCAGGAATAGCATAAGCACTCAGCTTTAATTATCTGTCATTCTGCTCCATCGCTCTTTATTTAGATGTAAACTTTTGTACTGTTGAAAAAGGCAGAGTTAGACATACATACGTACACCCCATGGCAAAATTTCCCAACCTGTTGAAAGCTGAGGCTTCCCTTAGAAGATGAAATCTGTTATACTCATTTCCCACTCTGCAGCAGTTTGTTGTAAGTATCCTTATCATCACAAATACACATTCCTCTAGCTAACAGCCACTTTGCATACTGTGTTCCACTGAGTAAAATTAGCTTAAAATATTTTAATATGATACAAAAAGAGCCATTCAGTCTTGGTCATGCATTTTGCTACATGCTATCAGAGAAATAACACATATGCATAACAAATGTATGCACTTGCATATGTGTGCCTGTGTATCCAGCTTCAAAAGTCAGGTGGGTGTCGGTTTCTTCTCCCAAGTAACAAGCGACAGGACAAGAGGAAATGGGCCCAAGTTGCGCCAGGGGAGATTTAGATTAGATATTAGGAAAAATTTCTTCACAGAGAGTGAGGTTAGGCATTGGAACAGACTGCCCAGGGAAGTGGTACAATCACAATCCCTGGGAGTATTCAAAAAACATGTGCATGTGGTGCTTAGGGACATGGTTTAGAGGTGGACCATACCTGGCTCTACCATCTGCACAGACATCTAACCCATGCTGGCCACAAGAAGTCCCATCCATCACCTTTTCTGTTAGAAGAACGGGTTGATCCTTTCCAGCCAGTGAACAGAATAAGGCACATGGCTTTTCTGTAGTAGCAATTGATGGAAAAAAACACCAAACTGGTAAGAGGTCACTTAACAAATACAGAATTATTATCAACGTCATTTTTAAAACCGATATTTGCTTATCTGTGTGGCATGAATCTATGTTAGCATAACAAGTTATCTTAGATACAATGAAAACAAAAAGATTTTGATCCTTTTCTCATCTATTTGAAAAACTCAAATTCTTTTTCCTGCTAGAGCATACTGGTGCTATAATCTTGGCCTACATCGTACTCATGTCACATTCATTGTTGCAATTAAGAATATGCACATTGCAGCTGTCGGAATATTTTGGTTGTAATCTATACTTTCATTGTACTGTATTTTTGGCAGATCACAAATATTGGTGAAAAAAGAAACTTAATACTTTCCAGATTTTCTAACTATGCAGGTCAAAAAAATTAAGTAATTGAAACACCCTGGGAAGAAAAATATACAGATTTACGAAGTCCACATTAAAAAAAAAAAACCAAACAAAAACCAAAAAACTGAACACATTCTTTCTAACATTTTTGCCAAGGTCAGGCAATTTTCTACTCCATTTCTAACAGATTCTGCAAATCATTTCTAATTTTGAAAGAGAACAAAAAAGTAATATTATCCTATGTATCCATGTATTCATAATGATCATAATTTATAAATAGTGAAGTTTGCTTCACCACTGCCAAAATAATACCAAATAAAATAAACTAAGTGTCCTCGCAGTGGTCAACTGAATACAATATTACATGATTTTTTATATGTTTATTTGCAAGTGTACTGACTTCGAACTTCTTTCTAAATCTCTTGCAGATTTTTGAAAGGATAATGTCAATCCTGAACTTGAAATTGATTTCACTTGGACACAGTCTACGCCACTCTGACTTCATACCGACTTCTAGATTCCTGGAGTGCGTTTTTATTAGTAAATTAAACAGTTCCAGGAAATGTTCATGGGCACTGGAATTCTACTGTCTATACAGCTGAACTGTAAAACAGTCTATGCCACATTTTTTTGTCTGCGCTAACTAGCACTCGCTTGGTCTAGACTGGAAATTGCCACCTGCAAGGGACCATTTCCAAAAAGTAGTTTGGATGTCACCATCCTTTTTAAAGTGCAGAAGAGCTGAAGAGTACGGACACAGGGCTTCTGTGCCAGGTGACTTACACATCAGAGAGTGGTCTGGGCACATTTAATTCACTAAAATTGACACAGCCTCTGGGTATCTCTAGGGGACTGGTGCAAACAGATGCGATCTCTTTTGCCAACATGTGAAGCCAGTCAGACACAAGCCATCTCCAGTGGAGAAGAGTGAGTTTCTGCCTGAGTTTGTGCCCTCTGCATTCCTGTTATACTCCTTAAATAGTAATCCCAAAGTTCCCTGAGAACTTTAAGCATGTATCAGCATTTTTTAAAGGAATACAAGATTAACAGGCTAAACATTATTTTAAAGACCCTGAACTCAAAGGGACAGGAACTCAACAACACCAGACAACTTCAACAAACTATAGGAGACCTCATTCAAATACAATGACTATTTTGGACTTGGTGCACAATTAGTGTCTACAAGTGCAAATGATTAAGGATTTGGGAAGAACGTATTTCTGTAAAACTGGAACTCTTTAGCTGGTGTCCACTTTTGTGTCTCCTGAGGGACACCTCAAGAAAACAGGATCTCTCAGAAAAAAACATGAAAGCAACCATCCACACTTCTTAACATGGGACAGGAGAGTGTCAAGATTTTTCATGACATGACTGAATTATTCAAAGTCAAGCTGAAACCTTTTGATCCCTTAGGATATAAATCATGTGTTCCTGTGCTAAAATGAAATTTAGTTAAACAAACCAAAACTAATTCACTAGATAAGCACCTATAAAATAGCTGGAGAGGGTTCTCCTTACTATGAACACGAGCTAACATACAAGCCTAAAGAAAATAGTCTCACAAGTTTTCACTTTGGCACCTTGAGAAAAGGCTTAGAAGAAAAAAACCCTTGTTTACCTAGGCATATATTAAAATAAGATCTTGATAATAAAGTCACATTTTTGGGGATTCAGCAAAATAGTTCTCTTAAAATCTATGCTTTCTAGTGGTTTCTGATAATTTGTTTCAAGAGTTAAATACAAATGGCAATAATGAACTACTTAAAATGTGGTAACACATACTTACAGTACTCCTGTGTGATTCCAGGCTCCTCTTTATCACCAGTTGCTACAATTTTGTTAATTTCTCAAATTAACTGTTTTCATAACTGAAGTCTTTCTGTTGTTTTCTTGTGTTTTGGTTTTTTTTTATTAAATAAATTACATCATAACAATTTAGAGAAAATTCAGTGGAATGGCAGCTATCGTTCACACTCCTAGCAAGAACTTGGGCAGAATGTTTTGTTTGCTAGTTGCTAATATTTCCCACCAACATTATCTTTGCACATACTGTAAGTTCAACATTACTATACTCCTACTTGAGCATGCTCCTAGTGATACGGTATCTAAGCAAGTTTGTTACACTGAAGCATGCATGCAGTATGCCAGGACTTTGCATGCAGTAGCTGTTAGGATATATAGGAATCTTATCTAAGTTTGCAGTATGCATTACATATGGATTTCTGCCAAAATAAAACACTGGTATGTGAAATACTCAAGTGTTAAGCTAAAAGTGCTCTCTCCTTCCTCAAAAATAGAAGCGCACAATATCCATATTGTCTTTTTGGCTTTGTGGGTAGAAGTATAACTGATACAAGCATGCTTAATGATGTAGCATTCCTCTAGAAAGCTCCATTTCTGAGTCACTTCATACTACATTTCTGATTAAATAGGACCAAACTGATATTGAATTTCAGTTCAAATGTAGTCATTACATATCAAGAAGGACAAATTCAATAGGAATATAAGACAAAAGATTCCAGAGCATGTGAAAATACGACCAGATCTTGTCTATGAAATAAAAATGACTTAACAAAAATCGTGGGCTTGGGATTTGTTTGTTTGTTTGCTCTAGCTTTTACCGTATCTTTCTTAATTAACAACAATGCCAACAAGCTATAAGCCATATGAGCAGATGATATGAACGTGGGAGATAGTTTATACTTACCATCATTGATGACAGCCTGCCACTGGTGCACATGCTTCTGATACGAAGACCTGACACTGAAAGCCTGGCACTGCCAGTCCCTGAAGGCAGGCATGCCAGCAGGACAAGAAGGATTTTCACATACTCTATACTGCATCGTGGGACCGTGACACTCTCCTTCAAGGCCTGAACTAGAAAGATGGCATAAATATCACGCTTTATTGTTGGTAATGTTTTGTCAAACTTACATCACAGTTTATTTATGCTATACACAATAGCACATATTTTGTTGACACATAACATTAAGAAATCACCCACAGAAAATCAAAGTCACAGACCAAAACATATTTGCCTTCTGTTTGTACCAGTCACATTACATCTAAAGAGTCATGGGTGCTAAACCATAGTTCACACTTCACCCCAAAGAAGCACTAGGACTAGTAGGAGTGTTCAGTAAGGGGAACCTCAACTGCAGTTTTGATACAGTTCGGGTGATTTTTCCCTAGCTGTACTGAGCCAAAGGTGCCACTGAAAAGAAGTAACACTTGCAGGTTTGCTACCCTTCCTTTTTTACAAGTGTGGTGTTGTGAAGTTCAACAACATGCTTTGCTTCTTTTTGGTTGCTCCAGTTGTGCTTGCAGGTCCCGATGAACAAATGTAAAAGAACAGTGAACTGCAGAAACTGGAGCTAATTATTTGGAACCTTGCCTGGAAAAATGAATGAATGAAAGCGAAATTAGGATACCCTTAAATTCTAGAAATAGCTTTTAGGCATACAGCTGGAAGTGGTGTTTAGATGGCAGGAAATATGAAAGCATTCCGCATCTCTAAAGCTTCTTTTTAACCACCATGCTTTTTTATAGTCATATCCAAGTTTTCCTCACATTTCTTTATACAAACTTCTCTTTTTTAATTCCTCTGTCTTTCCTGTCATCAATTTTTGCCCCAAATCTGTTATATTGTCTTTCACCTTTCTTCTCTACTCTACTCTACTCTACTCTACTCTACTCTACTCTGGTCTAGTCTAGTCTAGTCTAGTCTAGTCTAGTCTTCTCTACACTTGCCTCCATTACTCAGCTTTACTTTGTTCCCACTTATCTGCCTATTTATTCTTTTTCTCTTGGTGTATAAATGGCCCACAAAAGAGATATATGGTACTGAGTAACTAAAAGGATAGCATCTTTTAGCTGACCACTAAGATATGGTGAAACAGACCCTATTCAAATAAATGGTAAAACTCCATTTATCCCCAATGGCACAAGGTTTTCATTTTCACAAGACAGGAATTTAAATGTTGTTTCCAGATATTCTATTTAAATTTCTGTGAAACTGGCAGGAAGATCTCTTTGTAAAAGTTGCAATTGCTTGGCTCTCCAAATGAGACATAAGTTAATTTTCTCCAGCAAAAAACTGAAAGACTAGAATTACACACTGACACTCTGGAAGTCAAAAAGTATGAATTTAATTTTCTGTTGCTTTTCAGGTGAAGCTTAAAAACAAAGTTGTATTCTCTCATTAATATTATCTAAACTTTTGACAGAAGCAGAAAAGAGGAAACATAGTGTTATCATGCAAGAAAAAACCCTGAAATACCCATTCTCCTAAGTGTTTTTCAGTATTCATAAAAATGAATTGCTTATGTATAGGACAACTATATCTTAATGGGTTTCTCTACTCATAAGGTTTAAATTCTGTTCAGGAATTCTGATGAACAGCAATGGAAACCTGAACTTGTTTTTACCCAGGGCATTTGCGTTGTCGACTGCTGATTCCAGTGTTGCAAGTACGGCTACAAGTGCTCCACGTGCTCCACTCCCCCTCCATATGCTCCGCAAAAGAGGTCCGATTGATACACTCTCCAGCCTTACACCACTAGGTGAAAATTCAGCTCTTAGGTAAATAAATCAAGACATATGCAAAACAATTCACTGCTCCACAAGCACACGGGAAGCACAACATAAAAGTTTTCTTCAATACATAGTTTTCATATGAGTCAGATATATTTTTTTCCTATTGTTCCCCATAGCTTTTTTTTCTATCCTCGTAAGTACAACAGCCAGAGACCTTTCTCTGGCTCAGTGGCCAAGGAGCAGGTGCAACTCTTGTCACAAGCTCAAGCACAAGTTCATTCCCAATAAAGATGCCTCCTGGAACAGCCTGCTGGAAATGGTCCCCAGACTATGCTGTCCCCTACATTTGAGCCTGGGCATTGCCTAGGAAAGCGCTTTTAGGTCCAGCTCAAACCCACTGCAGGGATCATCCTCCAGCTCAACTGTATGGATGATCACACAACAGTGTTCAGGGCTGTTCTCAAGACTTGTTTGGTTCACTATCACAGTTCCCACATGACTCGCAGGAACTGCATTGTCACTGATTATCCAGTGATAATTCCAATAGAAGAATATATTACAAGTAATAAAGAAAATCAGATTTTATTCACAACTTGTATTCAAAGAGAGAATGGAAGCCTCAATAAGCTAGTGTTGAGAAAGTCAAGAGAATTTCTGTCATTTATTTAAATAATAATAATCACCTCAATAATCCTGTACACATAGATGGTTTCCCAGGACAACTGCAATTTCTCACTCGGAAACTATCCAATCACTATTGTTATGCTCCGTAACCTATGTCCATATCTGGTATAAAGCATCATAACACTGAAGAAACTAGTACTTTATCAACTTATACCAGCTGAATACATGTCCCATGTATTATGAAATTTCAGCAATTGCAAAGCAATAAGGCTACAAGTAGACAATGAACACTTAATGTCATTAACATCAGTAACTTAACCCATTTCACTTTGCACTCTGAGTTATTGGTGAATTACTGTTATCAATGGATAAAGTTCATGAAGAAGTCACATATTTTGAGCAAAACATAACATGTCACTAATACAGTCAATAAAGGCCTTTGTCGCTTTTAGAATACATTTCCGTTACTTGCAGTGTCTATGCTAAATCCTTCTCTGGTGATCTTAAACTTCACCTGCAGTTTCAAACTGGTCTTCATTGATCAACTGATCTTAATTTTCTCTCTTAAATCATGGCATTACAATGATGGCATAATTATATCAGTTTTGCAAAATCTTCACATAGGATGGCTCCATCATTATATTGGATTTGCAATTGGAAACTACATATTTTGCAACTCTCTTGGATGTTTTAGGCCAAAAATGCTCATATATATGTAAAGATAGTCCTTCAGATATAATAGGCAAAATGGATTTGTCTGTAGAGACAGCATCTGCTTTATGTAGAGTCTGAGGGATGTTTATAAATCCTTAACTTAAAAAACAACCAAGATGGACAGGCTATGCAAATGACATTTCCATCACTTCCTAAGATCCTAAGAGGAGCACAAGACAACAATACTCCATCTTTACAATATAAGTAAACCAAAACAAAGCAAGAGATTTGTGTAATCTGAAGCTCATCTTGGACAGATGACAAAGTAAACAAGAAGAATAATCCCTTCTAATCTTCTGAGACGTTTCAGTGATGTCTGCTTAGTTTTTTACTGCTAGACGTAAGTAAGGTATCTCTGTAGGCTGGCACAAGGCTCAGTGAGCCATTCTAATTAGAATCAGTACTTTGTCTTACCCTTACTAATAATTTACTCCCTATTAGCTAAGCTCTACAATAAAGAGAACGGTGTTACCTTCCTCACTGGACTTTCCCAGGACCCATGTCACTACCATATCATAACGCACCCACAAGCATAAAGTTAGAATGAGTCCTCTGCAATGAGTTGCTATTATCACCTTTTGCAAGTCAGACATTAACATGCAAAATGCACACTAATTTCAGGTGCCCAGTTCACGATGGTGATGGTTTCACAATGAAAAATTCTGGGTAGTCTTAATAAGAGGTGCTGCTTTCTTATTCCATACCATGGGCATGCCAGTATCAACGTAAAGAATGTGACATCGAACAAAAGGCATGTCCCTGACTTTCTAGGTATTGACATAAGACAGAATATCAACTACACACATGTATCAGAATCAAAAGATTGCAGCAAATGTCATTGTTTTAGAGATATGAAAATGAATAAAGCCTGTTTTTCCTTTAGCATGTAAAATTATATTATCTGAACATATTATCTTGCTCAGTTGATTGATTTGTTTACTTTCTTAGGGGGATGATGACAGTCCTGGTGAATGTAATATGATTCAAACAGCAAATCACTCCTGTGGGAGACTGCTGTCAGCACAATATCATGAAAATCCCAAGATATATGCATGCTCCTGCTTTGTTATCTATTTGAGGTTTTTTTATCTTCATTTACAGTTATATACAGAGATGATAGAGATTATCCAAACAGCAAAGCTCTTGAATGACATTTAATATAAGTCTGACTTCAGGCGACCATTTAATTTGTCTTTGATGGCATACTCTTAATGACATTTATCACTCTTTTACATGCACTAACACTATAAACATTTCTTTATAAAGCTTATCCTGAAAAGTTTTATCAAAAATCTGTATCAATTTCTTCAATGAGACTATTTCTAAATCTCAAATCATAGCTGAGAACTTTGTATCTTTGAAAGCTTATGTTTCTGTTTACAGTAAGTAGTGCAACAATGGCATTCCATTCATAAATAGGATACAAAACCAGAACAAATTTGAAATAAAACAGTGTAAGCATTAAAACACCTGTGGCTTCAGCTTTTTTTAAAATTCAGTGTTTTTAGGGAAATGTACTTTTTTATCATATCTATATTATATAATATACAACATATAATACATTCAACTATATCTGTATGATTTTTATGATAATTGAGGTAACCAGGAACTCAAACAAGTGCAAAGACCTATTCAGCTTGTTTCCTTAACTGCTAGGTGTTCAATATAATTTATATTGCTTTTCCACCAAAAACATACCTTTCCAGTGTCACAGTCTGTTCCATCCATTGGTGGATCCAGTTTAGTTTTGCATTCCTTCTCACTTTCCACCTTACACCACAACCCAGTGCAAATGACATGCTGAAAACCAAACTCACAGGTAAGCACAAAATCTATCTTATGCAAAACTACTTTCTGCATACAGTCCACTGATGTTGTCATGAAGTTACCAGTTTTATGGTACTGAACTATGTTTAAAGACAGGTTAAACATGCACAAAGACCAAAGTGGGCAGATTCTGCTTAATCACGAACACGTGGAACAAGTCAAGCTGGTGTGTTGATAGAGAGGGGGAAGAACCTTCTAAGTCTAACCCTACGGGTCATGGTCTTTGCATGTGGCAGATCTGACAAAGCACATAGGAACAACGTTGCCCCATGATGTGAAGCGGCCACTGCGCAAATGCAGTCCTCCAGAGACTGGAACAGAGTTGTGAGATTTCTGGGAATGATTTTTAAAATTAACTCATATTTTTACTCCTTTTATTTAGTGCTCATTCATTTTAAGTGAAAGGGAGAAAAACAGCACTGTAACTAGCAACAAAACCCAAGGTTTTAAAATGAGTCCATTTCAATATACAGGCAGTAGTGAGTCTTTGTGCAGCTACACAGAACTATGTTCATGGGAGTTTTGTAAAAATGTGTTTGTAAGAAATTTTGATGCTTCTCTAGGACATCCAAATCCACTTTGTCATTAATTCCTCCAGAAATATCTCAAAAAAGCAATCACACCTGATATCCACAAAGAAGACACAAAGTAAACTGACAAATCAGGATGAAGTATTTTTTTCTGGGAAGAAGAAGAGAAGGAAGATGAGAGAGGTACTAGTCAGTAGTGAATTTTGGAGATGGAAAGAAAAGCTGCTTCCTCTGTCCCTCTTAAGCATCAGAATAAGACAGTTTTACCTTCTTCAAAAGAAAGTACAGCCTTGAAGTATGCTGGCTCACATTTCCCCAGATCTCCTTGGCAGCCTTCCCTATTTTCCTCTAAAAAGTCCTCCTTCTCCCATGGTTTTCATTTCCTTGCTGTCTTGTTCCCCCCTTACTGGTAAACTGGGTGGAAGTGAACAGAGGGCATGCTGGGCTCAATTGCAGTCTCAATGTTACTGCACATGCAGACTGATTCCCCCCAAATATGTATAGTACTCCCAGAGAGGGGCAAGAAGGATCAGGAGAGGAGGACGGGTTGCAGGGAGGATAAAAGGTAAAGATCCACTGTTTTTTTGAAACCAGGGTTGCCAGAAGACGTGCTTTTTCTGACTGAAATGATTTGTTACATTGGTAAACCTAGCAAGAGTCTCTGTGCCTTTTACACGAAGCATGAAAAATGTGTGATACATCTTATGCTACCATGAAAAAAGTTTTACAGCACAGGAAACATAATTCAACAGAAGATTGTGTCTGAACCAAGGAACAGGACAGTTCCAATGGGAGTCTTGCATGTAAAAATGTCTGTAACATCAGCTTTCCAAAAAACCCAAAGTTTGCAGAGGTCTGAAGCACTGCACAAGAAACAAGAGACAGGATGGCAGCAGTCAGACTCACTCCTGATTCGTCACACAACGGTTTTGCGCTGAAGCTGAACTAACAAGACAACAGTTAGCTTATGCATATCCTAAACTACAGAAGTCCTATTCTGTTCCTGGATAATTTTAACAAGCAGTTTTCAAATATCAAACTGTAATTTCTGTTTTTGTTCAAAGGAGAAAGAGAATTTATTCTTCTAAAATTGTTTTTAAATATGTACTTCAAGATACAACTTCAGAGCCAAGAACCAAACTTAGCAAGAATACTTCTGGGACAGTTTTGGAAGACAATGTAGATGAGACAGATATCAGATGTTCATGATAAAGTGCTTCCATAACAACCATGAAGTGACAGACTATACTGTTGGAAAAATGCCACAAAAATATATGCTATTTAATGTTCCTAATTCAAATATTTTTTTTCATATCCCTTAATCTTCATTTGTCAATGACTACATGTGAGGAAAAGCCATCCAGGTTTTCAAAAAATAAAGTCAAATTTTCTCTTATGTCATCATGTTTTAAAGTATGTTATCCTTTTTTTTTTCCCTAAACACTTTGATCTTGTGCTCAATTTCACTAGCCTATGACTGCGGAATGGCTGATAACAAACCTACAGTTCCTTACAAATTTGGAAACAATTCTTCTACACTTAGCAAGACATGAAGTCAAATTGACAAGGATTTGGGTACCTGAACACACAGATGCACTTGAGCTGTGTAAAGTAAATCAAATCAAGATGCTTGACTTGCTAATACATCTTGTATACATCTGCATGTTTCTGCAAATACATGTATACCACCTCCTTATGAACCATGAACGTCACTCCCCCACCTAGAAACATCTTTGAGCCTTAAGTGAACTGTATTCTAAAAACACCCACTTTTCTTCACTCCTTTTTAAAATAAGCATTCAATATTACTATAACATTTCATCCTAGACTTTGAGATGCCCCAAACCCAAGAAAATGGAGATAGGAAATTACTAGAATCGGAGGATGACTTGTAAGTTTTTTTCCTGGGCTTTCCATTCCAGTCAAATCACAAATAGACTCTGTAGTTACTCTTCAGATTGTACTTCTGCTGCAGAAGTAAGAGAAACGGAGATTCCTGTTACCATTTAACTTTTGACGTTTGGGTATTTCTGCACGTGGCTGGGGAAAAACCACAATCCACAACTTGGTTTCCTCATTAGCAACCTGCAATGCTGCAGATCAGGACTGATCTGAAAACTAACAGATATCCGGAGACCAGTGTCAATATTACGGTCACTCCAAAATCAGAGCACAAACTTCTAAACCAGAAATTTACTCCTCTGGGGAAAAAGTTTCATTCAGTCAAAATCAGGATAGCTAAGTGAATGTTCACAGAGGTTTACTAGTTCTCTGTCATAAGCTATTACAGTTTTTAAGAGTAGCCAAAGGAAGTAAGGGTTATTGGAGATGATAAACTTCTAGTCGTGACATTAGGCTATTCACAATCTGTAAAACATTTCAATGTGTGTACACTGGAAAACAAAATCTTGCCAAACACGCACAGAAGATTTTTTTCGGAAAGAATGTGTTAATCATGACTTTTTAACAGCAATAGCTAGTAAAATATAGCACGAAAGTCACAATGTACTACAGAAAGAGCAGAGGTCACTCCAGCTTTTTGGGGGCTCTTTTGAATGAAAAGAGTGAGGCAGATATGTGTGCCACATAGGGATGCTTTTCCTGTCATATCAGCAACTAGAAAGAAGGCCCAGTTGAGAAGAAAGAAGAGAGACAAAAAGAGCATTTCAGAATTTCAGTATTTGTGCAAAGTCAAGATTGTTTCAAGTGTGGTGGTGGAGATGAAGACAGATTTTTCACTAGGGCTATAATATTTCCATGACTTTCGTTCTTTTCATGGTGATCTTTCCCTGAAATGGCTTAAAAATCACCAAGAAATATAACCAGTCTCCTACTTCTTTGCAAATATCACAGCTGTGTTTTAGTGCAACTGACTAGACAGCATTCGCATCCTGGACTTTAATCTTAAAAGCCAACATTTAATAGTTCAACAATTACATGAAATTGTCAAGTTCTACAATCACATATATTCATCAAGAACTACTTCTGGGCCATGATCTCACTATCTGTTATGTGAAACAGTGTTAGGGTCTAATTGATTCTTGTGTGAGACATCATGGGCATAAAAGCAAACTTGGCTCCCTTACAAGAAAAGCATTGCGACATGGTATAAATCTTGCATTCTGAGATCCACTCGCACTTTTCTCAGGCTCTATAAATTTTGCTTGGGGTATGAAAAAAAAGTCTTTCAAATAAAGATGAAAAGGAAAAAATAATGTCTGGACACCATTCATGAAAGAGGAGCGGGAGGGGGTCACTCAGGAAAATACAGGAGTAGGCCCTCAATGGTCCCTTCAGGCCTTTGCTTTAGCCATTAAATCATAAAGAGGAATTCCTGATAGCAAGGGAAAATCATTGGCCTCTGCAGTGTTTCTCAGAGGCTGCCCTGTAATGTGACTGTAAATCACCCTAAAGTGCTGCTCCATAACAAAATTTGTAGAAAATTACGTCTCAGCAGAAATGCATTATTGATATTTGTAGATTATTTTTAGATCATTAGGAAAATTATCTTCCATCATTACTCCATTGTTTTCTTAACTGAATAGCTGTTATGCATTGCACATTCTTGCTTAACGTAAAAGACTCCACAGAAGTCTGGTCATCAAATTCTCTTCCAGTCACAAAAAATGTAAGACTCTGACATAGTTCATAATTTATCTTTTACACAGCTACGCTGAAGTGCATGAACTGTTCAGCAAGTAGAATGTATCCAAGAAATCCTGGGCTATAAATTGTTGGATTTACTGAGGTTTAAATGAACCTTCAAGGAGTATGTTTCGCTCTCACTTCCTGGCTTGTGGACAACAACTGTAACCACAGTAAACTTCCAGTTATTGACAGAGTAGAAGACAGTATAGAGAGATAAAAGAAAGTAGCTTGAATTTCATGGAAAATCCAGTGGTTGCCAATGTATAATAAAATAATTCTTTTAATGAATTAATACTGGAACTAATGAAATACCATATTCAATTTAGAAAAGTCGCCTAAATGTTGACTGCTCTGATGGCAGCCACAATAATCTGCACAATCAACACAGCGAACTTTGAGTCACCTTCATAATATGTAAAATGCCATTATTTGGTAGGTTAAATCCAAAATATTTGTTATTTCAATGTAACATCCTCATATTTCGGTGGGAGATGATAACATTAGCTACTGACTAACACCACTTCACAGTTAGACGCCGTTGGTGTTGCACAGTCCATGTACTAGAACTCATGAAGAATTTCTGGGAAGTTGATAGAGCTTGATTCTAAACCAATTTAAATTGCAACACCCTTTTGTTTCCTTCTCTTCCTACACAGGAGAAACATATGTAAGAGCAGGACGGCTTTCTTATCCTTGGGGCTGTGCTCCATCCATTGCTCTGAGCTTCCTCTTCACTGTAGAAATGTTATTGAATTGGACTAGGGTACTGTAAACTTCCCGAACAGAAGAGCTGAATTTAAGACCCACAGTAGGGAACTAAGGAAGGAGATCTGAATAGGGTGCCTAAGCTTGCTGTAACTAGCTCTTCAGCTCTACAATCTGAGGATCAAATTTCTTGGATTTTTTTGGTGGGGGAAGGTGGGAGTGTAAATTTTGCTTCCAGAAAAAAGAACACAGAGGAAAACCAACAAGGTGACTTTACAGAGGTTGGCAGTGGAGGTTTGGTGAATTTCTCTTCTGCCTCAGTGCCCTCACCCTATTTTCTCAATTCTGTCCTTAGTGTCTTTTATTCTTTTTAATGTAATTTCTAATAGGTGCAAAGCTCTTAAAGATGCATGACAATAATTTTGTGGTTCAGTATTTGCTTATATGATTTCTGGTTCAGGGTTACCAGTTTTGCAGAGGATTTTGGTGAAACTGCACAGGGTTCTTCCGCTTGATCTCTTCTCAGAAACTGTTACCAAGTTCTCTTTCTCCTACTGTTAAGACCATAAGGTTATGAAGGAACAGACTTGGTTTGCGAAGAAGACTGAAAGCTAAATTGCAGTTTGTCAGAAAGAAAAGAGGAGTTGAAAGGACCACTGGTTCTCTCTTCAAAGCAAGCCCGCATGTCTTTGGATTTAAGTTACAATGGTATCTTAATGGTATCTTAATAATAATAATATTTAATAGGAATTTTTGCTAAACTAATCATTTTCATATAAAGTAATGATCCAGGAAGTGGGAAAAAAAGAAGGATGGTACAAGTGATGTAGCTCAAATGTGTCCTCTCACATACAAAATGCCAGAAGAGGAGAAAATCGCTGAAGATGATTAGAAACGGACAATTAGGTACCAGCACCCAGAGCCTAAGTACTCTCTGTGCAAACAGTTGAACACTACCAGGGTAGCGTTAACTGAATTTAACTTCCTAACATTTCTAAAAGAATAATGAAAACCAAAGAAACCTTGGAGTCAGGACCCCAAGAGAAGACTATTCTCTCCATCTGTGAATAAACCATAAGAGGCATGGGACCACTTGGCTACCTGAATTTCAATGCCTGAATTAGAACTAAACACAAGGGTATTAAAGGAAGGGAAGTGCCCAGAGAAATGAAAAGCATACAAAGGTATTATGCAACAGCAAGTCTCCAGGTTTGACTATCTCTTCAATTACTTTTGAAATTCTTTTACCTGGTAAAGAAGACCTGGAAGAAATAATGGGCTAAGACTGTACTATATTCTTGTTCAAAATATGTTTCTAGAGAATGAGAAGCCAAAATCACATCTTTTAATTGAAAACAAAGTATTAAAAAGCAAGAAACATTGCAATTCATGAAAAAAGCACTTGGAAATAATGAAGAACATTTGCAGAATCGTTACATTGAGTTCTACTGCTCATCTCTCAGAGTGAGAATGTTTTCAATAAGACAATTGAAATAATAATCAGTAACCTACAGCTCCTTTCTTTTCAGCTACGCCACTCTCAGCATGTGGTAGGCATACATGTATTGCAATGTTTCCTTTGAGAATCTTTAGAACAAAGATTACTCTCACTGAAACTCACTAAAGAAAGAATACTATGTCCAAGCTGAAAAGATGAAGAGAACTTAAGAACTAAAGGAGTAAGGAATTATGCTTTCATATTAAATATTCCTGACCTTTCCAGGCTATCTGTCTGCTCTGACTCTGATGAAATTTTATTTCATAGTGCCTCCTAGCCCCCGTTCTATCAACCCATACTCCATGTTCTTTATCCATTCATAACATCATCTACCCATCTTGTCTTGCTCACCTTCTCAAGGGCATTCAACATGTTTAGCACCTGTCCTGCTGACGTTAAAGAAGGACGATTTTTCTCTGTTAAAACCATTCTTAAAACACTTCTTCAATCAGGTGTCTACTGGTATTAGGCCATAAAAGTACGAAGACCTCTTCAATTTTGTTAAGTTGTCTTTTCAGGGTCAATATAGTGACACTGTTTCATGCAATGGCATGAAGCAATGTCAGCAAACTCACTTGAGTACTGCACTCCTGTTGCTATGGCACTGCACAGATCTGCCAGGGCTCACAGGGGACCTGCTGGGAGGCAGGGTATATTCAGCAGTGCACAGACAGCGCAGCTAACACCACTGTTCTCCCTCGCAGCTAGCACAGGCACAGCATACTCTACTGAAGGTCAGATGCAGAGGTTCAATACCCAAAACGTAATGAAAAGTAACCTACACGCAAAATCAGGTCCCAGTGGAATAAATGGCAAATATCCCATTCACTGCAATGAGGTGACTTCACACTATGACATTTTCTATTTCTAAAGAACAAGGAACATATCAGCAGTATGCTATGATACAACATGATTCAGGATGTTTGGAGATCCAAAGCAAGCCTTACAAGATAAACAAAGGAAAATGTTCATATTAACTTCAGAAAGCAAAGTGTAAACTTCTCGTTTCAAAGGTGCTGCGTTCTCTTTCTCTCAAGCACATGCACAAAAATATCTCCCACAGAAAAAATGAGTTGGTGGGTGTATTTTCTGAAGTCTACAGCCATCCTTACCTGCATTTCTGGGCAAAAGGAAGCGGTTGGTCCAAAAAGAATCTGACACTGTTCATCTGCAGTGTACGTCATTCCTGGGAGCTTGGAGGGAATAATCACAGAATTGAGGCTCTGAGGATTCATCTGTAGCAGACAGTTACTGGCCTTTGACCTGGCAATATGCAGAGATTCGTACGCTGAGCAATCCTGAAGAGCCTGATCGTCATGCCGACTTAAACATGCATTTGATGTTAGAAAAATGTGGAGTCGTAAGGTTTTTTTATTCATCAGCATTGGGCTGTCATTCAAGCCGTACAAATTAATATGGCTTACTTGGTATTAGGTACCGGTGTGTTCGGATGTTGCGCATTTGCAGGAAGACAATATAATTTATCAACTATAATAGGAATTTGAGGAAAGCGCTGGACAATGTTTTTGTGTGAAATTTACCTGACTGATAAGGTTTGGATAGAGCTGTAAACAATTATAAAAAAGTAGGCAATTTATAATGCATAGGCAGTTGTGTAGCTTAGTTTTCACATCCAGCACAACCTCAAGTTAATCACTTCAGATTATATATATACATATCTAATACTATAGATTTAAAAATGCATATATTTTTGAGCTGGTAGCCAGAAATCTAGCTTTTCTCAAAGACTGAAGAAAAAATATTTGAAAATACTTAAGCCTGTTAAAGCATCAAGTCACGGTTTTGATTTCTGTCTAGATTCAGTACAAATGTGTCAGACTGACACATCTAACTTATACTAACTCTTCCAGTGTCATAAAGCAGACCTTTTGAGGACTGCTTGACTGTGGAAGTAAATTCTCAACAGATATATTCATAAGCTTAATAAAGGAACAGAGCTTTAGGGAACAGATCCTATTTAAGAGTTATAGAGTGAAAATAAACGTTTTAATTTGGCTTCTAGGTACGCTGTTCTCTATTAAGGATCTCATAGTAAATTTCTATTTAAAAAATTAACATCATGGAATTATGCTGCGTGGTTTGATATTGAATGGCACAACATAGATCAGAGAATCTACATAATGTTCATAGGTCATTCACTGTCCAACATTCTTCAATACCTACCATATTAATATATTTTAAACATATTTACATATATATAAAAATGTGTATATAAATATGTATGTATAAGCCTCTACATTAACACATGAAAATATAAAAAAAAAATGATTGCTAAAAACAGTTAAATTTTCATCAGTCTGTCAAATATTAGATCGTTCATGACGATTTACATTATTTTGATGGGCTACACAAACACAAATCTCCCACAGAAGTGGCAAAAAATATTGAAAACTTGTTATTTCAGGATATTTATTGCAACTATTTGTAAATGACAAATGGTAAGAGTTCTTTTTCTTGCATGATATACCTGAGAAATCTTTCCAGATCTTCCCTGCTGCACCGAGACCATGAAACATCCCCAAGATTCTGTCCTTTAATCCACTCCCCAGACATGATATGGAGACCATCTGCACAGGATGGGTGGTCATTGTCGTGGTTTATCCCCATGCTGAATTTTGAAGTTATTAAAAATAAACCAAAGCACAACAAAATAACAAGTTGTTGTCAAAATGCTTATAAGCTAAAACTCTCACAAGAGGCTATGAAAAACTCATGTACATTACACATAGGAGATCTCTTTTGATTTTTTTTCCATGATACCTTTCACAGAAGTACATGGAACCCTGTGTGGAGAACAATTCTATACTGAAAGGAGAAAGTGAAGCCTCATTCATTTGATGAGAAATATTACATTCTAATCAGCTGTTCAACATACACTTCAGACAACTTTTTGCATGTTCAGAACTGCACAACTACTGCAGCATTAGTGAACTGTACTTCTCTCTCTAATGGACAACAAAAATCCTGGAAATCTTTTTGAGATCAGTGAATTGTTCTGTATTTTGGCAGTGATTCTATCTTAATTCCATATGGAACTGGTTTGTTGAAATTTTATAGCCTAGTAAAATGCTTACCAGTTTCATGCATGATTATCGTATCTAAAGAAAAATCACCTCAATGTCTTTTCAATGTCTACTGTTAGAAATAACATTGATGAAGCAATTCAATGGATTTTGATTTTAAAGACTCAGCATCCACGTGTTCTCCCGTAGGGTGCTGCAATGAAAAATTCTGCTAAAAATCTGCTTGGATCTGCTCCTTGAACTGAAGTAAAGATGCACTGTCACTCTCATTCACAACCAGTAAACAAAGAGGAAAAAGGTAAGACTGAAATAAAAATAACAAGTTTTCAGTATTCGCTAAGTGGATACATGCTTGACTGGCATTAAGAGAACTAAATGAAATATTCTCAGCTGTTTTTCAAGATTTGTAGATCAGCATGGGACTACTCTCCAGAGCACTGGATTCAAAGGGGTGCTGGAATTTTGCAGCCCCAGTCTGCCCTGCAGAAAAGCAAAACTTTAGAGTGAATAAAGCTTTATACCTTGTATTGATTCCTTCAGCCAAAGAGCAGTCAAATCGCTTAGAAACTGCAAAGACGGGAGAAGTTTGCCGGCTCTGCAGAAAAACTAGAGTACATCATGCTTCTACATGTCTCACCACACTGCAGGACCAAAGGGCAAAAAAGGCCTGCCACCCATCACTGAAAACATCGGCTCGCTTTTCTTCTCCACTCTATCGCAAAACCCCCTCATGACCAGATCAAATTTTATATCGTTTTGCAAGCTGCGTTCCCTTGTGTTTACTAACGAAATGAATTTAAATGCCGTGTAGGGCTTTATCTTGCCTATCAGAGTGCTCAGTCTTTTCCAGTGATGTGTACACCCTACAATCTGGAGGACTGGAACAGCTGCCCCTGCATGAATTGGATAATTCTGTTCGTTGTAAACAGTGTAACCGAGGTAAACAAATCCCTTTACTCTCATCTTAGCTTCAGCCTTTTCCTGAACTGCCTGAATGGGACACAACAACTACACGGAAGTGCCTTTGCACTTTCCTTACGTTCTTCAATGCCTCACACGCAGAATTTGAGATGTCCTCATCTCCAGAGTTCTATCCATAAGCACTATGGAAGAAGACACAGAAAATCTAATGACGCGTCACTTTGTTGACTGCACAAGAAATAGATTTTCCTTACAGCTCTTCAAGTTATGTCCTTCCTCACTGCAGAAGTACGCATTTATCAGTGTCATATATATACACACTATGATTTGAAATAAAGCATTTGCAACATACAAGTACACAAAAACTTGTTAACACAATTTATTGTAGAATTGATGGCTCCCATTTACGCAGAGTGGGAATTAACACATTTATAGGTTACTTAAAACATCTTCCTACAATTAAAAAAAAAGAAGAAATATTTTGATTACTATTGTTTCCCATCCACTCTGAAGAGCACGTCTTGAAGTCAGACTTTGTCACAAACCAGTCTGGAAAATCACCCAGAAAAATGTGTGCTGAGCTGAACCAAGATCCTCACTGTTTCAAAAACCAGTTCCACTAGCCACCATTACAGACCAACATCAGTGTAATCCTTTTTTCCAATCTACTACCACAGAATCGTTCTGTATAGTCTAGCAGCATGTGAATTCTGAGGACAACATTGTCTTTTAAGGTAAGAAGCGGTAAAAACTGTTGGATTTGTAACAACTGCGTATATCAGCAACATTAAGCACTAATAACAAAATCTAATTCCAACTGTCTTCCAGTACTTCAGCTGCTATACTTTTGTAGCACTTCTGCTATTCTGCTTGGACATTCAAATGTAGTTCAAAGTACCTGCGCTAATCCAATAGGATCCATTCCTCCATACTCTTCCACTTCCAAATTAAGTACACCTCACAAAATATCCAGCAAGTAGTGAAGACGAGTATCGAAGCCTTTGACTATCAGAATGAATAGCTACTTCAAAAGGGAAGTACAGGTCATTATGTGAACATTGACTAATTAAATTGCAAGTGAATATCTGAGGAGTATGCTAAAGTAGCAACAGAACCTGCTCTTAAACATTCTCAGAAATCTTTTCCTCAATACGTACTGTTGATCTCTTCTGCATACTTTTATCGGACCTCGTATCAATTACAAGATCACATAAAAGCAGATATGCAGTAGTACTGACTTCTGAGTTCATTCACCACATCACATTATGTGGGTGGTGAAAGAAAGAAGCTGAACAGAAAAAACATAAATAACCAAAAAGACAGTGCTGTACTTTAACAAGTAGTGGATCATACCCATACGGAAATATGTCAAATTCTGTTCTGAGAACAGAAGCATTATTTTTTCACTGATATATAAAAATGCTCCACCCGTTCTGGGTGAAGACTATATACGGCAGATGTAATATGAAAACAGGAAGCATCCTATGGAATGCATTCCGAAATAAAATATTAGCAATATTTCAACTCACACTGTGCAACTAAACTATATTTTAATAATCTCAATTTAAAAGTATTTTGACAAAGAGCCTTGGTCACATGAACTCCACTAACATTATACCTGATTGTCAAGTCAACTGAAAAAATATTTCTACCTCACAGAACCTCTAAAACTTGTTTAAAAAACACTGCCAGATTTCTGTTGTGATATCATGCAGAAAGTTGGAACAGTCTCTGCTAGATTTTGAAGATGATCCCTGTTGATGTTTAATGTGCAGTAGGAATAGTACAAAAAAATCCTTAATTTCTCTGTGCCTAGAAGTCAGAATTAACAACTCAGGCCACCGAAAGCAGGAGACAAATACCAGTTCCGTTTTTTCAGTTAAAAAGTAATTTTTCTACAATTCACCACTGCTGCAAGTATATGCGCACAGCTGGATTCAAGATAGACGACAGCATCTCTCCTGTCATCATCAGGGGTATAGGTCTTACTCTTGCAGGCACAAAACACATTCCAGTGTCAACCCACATACTGAAAAAGTACAAAGTACCACACGTTGATTTGATTGGATTATAGCTGAGTATTAAGAAATAAAAGCTCTTTTAGGTCTCAACAAAGGGTCCTCGATCATTATGCTATTTTTAAAGAAGTTAAATAAGGCTATGCACACGCCTTCTGGAGAGAATTAGGTCTGCATTGTAAAGTGCTATTTTATAATTCTTCTCACTATAGGACTCCATATGTGCTACATTCATGGCGGCATGGATTTTCTCAGTGACCCTGCACCTTCCAGGTGGAAAGTGGTTTATTATTTTTTCATTATTTTCACTGTGCTTTGCAAATGGCAGATGATGACCTGATTATCACCACCATGGTCCACTTAAATGCATGGTAGTGCACCTGAACAAGAATGATGCTATGAAACTAGAAACAGGCAATGAAGGCACAAAGACTAAGTAGTATCAAAGACTTAATATAGGAGCAGTTAATTGGGAGAGTTCAGACAGATGTGGAGAATTACTTTCTGTGTATCTCTAAATAAAAAAAAAAAAAGCTACAATTAAAAAGATTAAAGAGTTCTCTTCTACTGTTCAGAGATTTACAGCCACTAACAGGAGAGGGGTTAGGAAATAAGAGATGGATTAGGAAAACCACAAGAGCAAGTACCCAAGGAACCAGGGGTAGGTTGTTGAATATTCAGTATAATAAACAGTTTCCCAGATCCTAAAAGATAACTACCAGTTTAAGCTCATGACAGAATGAAAATGACTGAAAAAACTTTCCCTTTGTGAAGGAGATAGTAAACCTCTGAATGCTGCTGCCAGTTTATAACTGAAGTGTGATGGGAACAGCCACGTGGTTTCTTTCAAAATTCGTATTTTTATAAATGATCGCTACTTAGCAGTTGTAAATTTACTGTATGTTGGCTTTTTTTTTTAAATCCCAGTTAGTGAAACAGTAATTCTTGTATCATTTTTTTGTAAGTGTTTTAAAACATATGAGGGTTTCACAGATCATTGCATAAATGGGGTAAGAATGGTTCTACTTGTAAATGAATTATTTAGCCTGAAGTGAATTGAAAGGCAAGTAACCTAGCTACAGAAAGACTATGACGGTAAAAGCCAGAAGATGATTTCTTTTGGAAAAACCTTCTCTTCAAAGGAAGAATCTACTGGAGAAGGAAAGCTCAATCTCCTTGTTAATAATTCAATGGTAAAAATAAAAAATCAAAAGAAATATGTTTATGCAATGAATATTTCTCTTTTGTGAATCATTGCTCGTTCTCTAGGATGTTGGCAACTCAGATTACATTTTCAGTCTTCAAACAATTGGGTAAAAAATACAACATGTATATTAATACATGGACATGGACATATGCTGCATGCTAGTGTCCAGCTGAGTTGGTAACTTCTGCTAAACAGCTGCTTTCTTCTCTATCACTCCAACACTTCTACCACCATGCTTCACGAAGCTGGATCTAGACCTAGCATCGTGTCATGGTCCTTTGACTTAAGTATATAAATAATGTAAAGCTTTCATATGACAGATGTATTTAGCATCATAACATGAACATACATATGGTCCCTTGCTAAAGTTTTTACAGAGAGTACCTAATATGGGAAAAGTATTCACCTCTGGCAAATACGATACCCATGCCACATCCTG